AATATTAACCAGTATTAAATTTGGATGAGAATGTCTAAATATGTTTTGCATGTTATTACTAGCCAATGACAATTCCAGTGGCCGTTTATATATCGTACAATCTCTTGTCGTACCAATTTGTGAAAACTTTGAAACACATTTTATTTCATATTAGTAGCAACTTTCATCGACACTTATCACATAGCATATCATCAAGATATACATTTGTCGTTGTTAAAAAAAAGTTCATTATAAAAGACGACATTCTATTTTTCTTAATAATCTCATAATTGTCTTGGTTTTAAGTCGTATATCTTGAAGACAGAAATACTGTAAAATATCTTTTTTTGCCAACAGATAGTTTAGAAAACTCTATACTCATAATGTGAAGAATTTTTTCATATTCCACGTTTGACGTTTTCTTCAATGTTGCTAAAGATATCGATTTTAATTGCCAATGGGGACAAAGAGTTAGCGGGTCTTTGAAATGTGTTTCGTAAGGAATCAGTTCACGCGGATGATCTTACTGGCCATGTTTATCGTCGATATGAATCCATTCCTTACGGAATACGTTGTCATATCCTTGAACCACGTTTCAATAGAATGCTAAAAACATCTTCATGAGGGTGTGGGTGTAAACTTTTTTCATGGGAAATGCCATATCCGGAGTGAACGATAAAAATTGCATTTAAGAACCTATTTCATATAATTAAAACTAAAACTTCACCTGAGATGCCTTCAGAGGATATTGCTAATATTGAATCCTGCCAAATTATGTTTCAATTATTGTTGATATATTTAATTAACAATTTTCCTTGCTTTTAACCTAGATAAAAGTCCTTAAGAGTAATTTTGAAGCATTCAATATTATCACTATCGTCCGAGAGGAGTACAAATGAGATTTTTAATAAAAAAATGTTTCTCGTAATGAAAGCCTAACTGTAAAAGTTAATTTTTTATATCTTTTGAAATATTGCAGGTGATATTCGCAATCAGTATGAAACTCTACGTCGAGTGATTAGTTTATTATAATAAATAGATACAAAAAAAAATTGTCTACCAGCATCTGGAATGCAGTTGTCATGCTGCAGAAAACTATTAGGAGATAAAAGTGACCTTATTGCCACTTATTCCTTTGTTGTTGTTTTTTTTTATTGGTTTATTTTATTTTTGAAATAGATAGAGAAAGAATCATTCACTTTTTTCTTGGCAGAACACAAAAATGACGTTGGCAGAAATTGCTTTACAAATTTTACGAATTTCCTTAATAATGTTTATTGTTTTGGGAACACTTGGTAATGCTCTCAATTTATTTATCTTTACGCGCCCGACACTGTCACGATCATCATGCACATTATATCTTATTGCAGCTTCAGTCGACAATATTCTTGTTATTTTCATATCATTATTAAGTCGTCTACTAGCCAATGGATATGCTCTTGATATAGCAAAAACATCAAATACTATGTGTAAATTACGGTTTTATGTCGGTTATGTATTTTTTGCTTTATCACCATATTTCTATACATTGGCTTGTTTTGATCGATATTGTTCAAGTTCAACATCAGCTGCGCGTCGATCATTGTGTAATAAAAAAGTAGCAAAACTATTGATTATTGGAGCAATTATTTTGGCTTGCATTTTATATTTACATATGGCAATATTCTACGAATTAAGCAGCACAGGTCCTTCACCTAGCTGTAATACTCGACCAGGTGCTTATGATTTATTTTATCGAATATTTTATCTGATAGTGTATTGTATGTTACCATCTTTTTGCATGGCTATATTCTGCATACTTACTCTAATTAATGTTCGTCAACAGTCACGTCGAATTCAACCGATATTAGCAACTGGTAATAGTGGTTCTCGTCGTCTTGATCGTCATTTAATTCGAATGTTATTTTCACAAATTTTAACACAAGTTCTTTGTATTCTACCATTTGCTATTCTAAATTTAATGGGTTTTTTTATCGATCGACGTACACAATTATTTGGATTTTTCAATCAAATTTTTACTGTACCATTATTTGTTAGTTATGTAACAAGTTTTTATATTTTTACAATGTCATCTCGTATTTATCGACAAGAATTACTTAAACTTTTATGGTTTAGAAAAGCAGGACAAAGTGGGACAGAATTAAGTTTAAGAACATTAACAAATGGTCGAAGTATTCAAACAAAAATGAAGGGTACTGCTGATGAAAGTGTGAATTAAAGAATAAAAAAAATTCAATAGACTTATTTCATAAAAATTTAACTTCAGAACTTTTAATTTATGTATGTCTATTGAATGTTCGTCTTGTAATCATTATTGTACAATAAAATTTAATTATAAAACGAAAACTGTTCTTTTTTTCTATTATCGATTGTTGTTGAAGAAGAGTCTATCTATCATCTCTTTTCAATTATTATCTCAATAATAGATTCGAAACAGTATTGATTTCAACAAGCTTCAAGTCAATGGTTACCAAACTGTAATCTTAGAAAAAAGATCGGTTTAGCTTTTGCTTTGATTCTTGATACGTCTTATCATGATATCAGTTGTATTTGGATAATATCCTAACATAACAAGGTGCTGTTGAATAGACTTTTCAAACTAAATAACGTTTTTCAGATTAATCCTTTGAAGATAAATTACATATCTATCGCTCATAAGTCATATGAAATTATGACGAACAAAAAGACTTTGATAATTTAACTATAATTAAAATATGAAGACTATTTTATTGGAAAAAGAAATTTTCTTTTTTGCTTAAATTATATATTTTAACTGTTGTCCTTATAATGTATATTATCAAGTTCATTTACGTCTTTGTCGTCTAGCTTGTTCACGATCCCATTCAGCACGACATTCTGGACAATCATCATAACTGTGTGATCGATTTCTATCACGACATTCCGAGCAAGAACAATTACTACATGTTGAACAATGACTGCAGCTTGATGATGACGATGATGATGAAACTGGCCGTTGAATTGTTTGTGATCGAGGTGGTGCTACTGGTACAGGTGGTAAATCTTCATCACTTGATTCATCTGGTTTAATATCAGGTTTTGTTTTCGTAATTCGATAAATCTTTGAAACTTTAACTTTTGTACCTTTATGTTTTAATAATTCATTAATATCATTATTAGAAACAAGACCTTTAATTGTGTCATTTTGTACACCATCGGGTGCAATTGTAAATGCATTATCTTTATATTCTTTTACACCTTTCTTAGGCGCTGGTGTTTTTGGATCGGTTGAGATGACTGTAGGAGTTTCTTGATTCGAAGCATATAGATTATAATAATATGGCTGTGGTGGTCGTAATTGTTCAGGTGGTTGATATTGTTGAGGTGGTTGATATTGTTGAGGTGGTTGATATTGCTGAGGTGGTTGAGGTGGTTGATATTGTTGAGGTGGTTGAGGCGGTTGATATTGTTGAGGTGTGCCATATGGCATTTGCATACCGGGTTGAGCATATACAGGTGGATAACGTATTGGTTGTATCATATTTTGCGGAGGGCGAGTATTTGCTGGTACTGCAGCATAACGATTAAATGCTTGATTAGCAAATGGTGGAGATGGTTGTCTATGTCCAGGTGGTACCATATACCGAACGGGCATTGCTGCAGCATTTGGATATACATACTGACCATACGGATAGGGTTGCATATCTGATTGTCGATTTGTGTACGTTTAAATCAACTGGCTGAGTGTATTTATACAGAGTCGAAAGAAAAAAAAATAATAATTCGTTTTGCTTGTCGTCAACAATACTCAGTTGAAAGCATTTACTGATTTTTTTTTTCGAAATGTTAGTTGATTTATTTACATTTGCTTAACAGCAGAAATGAGTCGACAATCAGAATGAAAAGAATGAAAAGCGAATTTAGTTGATTTAAATCGATTTAATGACTCATTTTACTTGAAACACATACGAGTAAAACTTCGATGATTAGAAGAGAGAAAAAACAATGATTACTCTTACATTTCAATCAGTAAAATAAACATTTAGAGAATACTGCAAAAGATAAATTACTATGGAAAACATGAACAGTGAAAATTGTGCTTCTTTTTTCTATTCTTCTTCCCTCATTACACATTTTCTCTTTTTTTGTATTTTAGAATATTGTGTTGTTTTTTTTTTAATTTTACCTTTCTTGCTACGCTCTTATCAGTTTTCTTATTCAGTAGTATTTGTCTTCCTTTATTAAACGTAGACGATGTAAAAAAAACATGGCTTGCAGATTCTTATGTTCTTCTATATAAACATAATATTCAAATTTTTGTTCGTCATCAATTTCAACAGGTAACAAAAACAACATTCATCACGTGAAGTAAATGAATAATGAAGTAAAATTGATGCCACAGTAAATTACATAATAATAAAAAACAACGTACATGTTACTTTTCCGTTTAATCCAATTTATAGTCATGTCAATTTCACATATACTTAATACAATACTATGCAAATTTAGAGTCTATCGGATCCACAATTTTCGAACTCGCATGTAGTCAATTCGTACTTAGATGACCTTAATGAAATTTTCTAATCCATCAGATCCAAAACTTACCGCAATTTCAATGTGTTAGATTATGATATTTGTCGATATTGCTATCTGATTTTAGTAGAGAAAATACTGAGTCAAAAAAAAAACTAATTGCTATTATTTTATTTATTATTCTGAATAACATAAAGAAACGTTGGACTTAATTTTTAATGAAGCTAAACTTGCTACTGTTCGAAGATATTCAGCTTCAATAGTTCCTGTTTGTTGTACTAAACTAGTAAAATGAGATTGAGTATTCGACAGTAATATTTCAGGTGAATCAAATTCGACTAATTTTCCATTACTAAGCACCTACAAATAATAAATAAATATTTAAAATATAATATGAAAATTCTATACCATAATACGATCACTATCAATTACTGTACGCAATCGATGTGCTATTGTCAATACTGTACATTCTTTAAATTTATCACGAATTGCTCTTTGAATTAATTCATCAGTTCTAAACAATATTTTCAGTTTTTGTGTTTTGTTTTTTTCAGTTCAAAATTTTTTTGTTTCACTTACACATGATCAACATTAGCAGTTGCTTCATCAATCACAAGAATTTTACTTTTTTTCAGTATAGCTCTTGCTAAACATACTAATTGTTTTTGACCAACACTTAAATTCGATCCACATTCACTCACTAATGAATGAAGACCATTTGACATATTATCTCTTACTAATTTTTTCAATTGTACCTATATCAATAAAACAAATTTATTCAAAAAATCAAAATAAAAACATCAAATAATAATAACAGACTTGTTCAAGTGCATTCCATATTTCAACATCTGAATAAAAACCAAATGGATCAAGATTACTTCTCATTGTACCAGTAAAAAGAACGGGATCTTGTGGAATAATTGAAATACGACGTCGAACATCATCTAATCCAATTGTTGTTATATCAATATTATCAATAATAATATGACCATTAACAAGTATACCCATTCGAAAAAGAGCTTGAATAAATGAACTTTTACCAGCACCTGTTCTTCCAACAATACCAATTTTTTCACAAGGTTCAATTATTAATGAAATTTCATGAAGAGCACAAGGTGAATTTGTTTCTTTAAAATAAGACATAGAAACATTGTCAAATACAATACGACCTTGTGATGGCCAATTTATTGGTGGTCGATATTTAGATAATTGCTGAACAGATGATTCTTGATCAAGTGAACAATATTCAAGTATTCGTTCGACTGATGTCATTTTTGTTTCGGTTTCAACTGATTGTCTAAAATTAAAAAAACAAAAATAATCATTACTAATAATTATATATATATTGATGTAAACCTAATAGTCCATTGTAAAAGACCCATTAAATTGAGACTATATGAGAGTGTTAACGCAATATCTGCAGCCGAAAATTGACGACCAATAACACGTACAATTATAGCAAGTAGAGTTACAATACTAACAAAGAAAAGTGTGATCCAATCGAATCGAATAGCAGCCCATCGATTAGTTGTTAAAAATAAATAATTAGTACGTGTATTATCATCAAGATGAGAGAAAAATTCTTTTAAACATATTTTTTCAGCATGATAAGATCGAATAACTTTAAGTCCATGAATAGTTGATGTTAAATAAGAATAAAATGGACTTCGTGTTATGCCTTCAAGTCGTTTAAGATCTCGCGAACATTGAGCAAAACAATGTCGAATATATAACATAGCAATAGCTGCTATTGTAGCTGGTATAAATGACCATGGATTAAGCCAACTAACAAGAACAATTACACCTAATACTTGAAAAAAACACTGAACCAAAAAAATTCTTTATACATATGTGCAAGAGAATTTTAACATACGCGTAAAAAGTCATAAAGAGTTGCAGATAATTCTTCATCGATAATAGCTATATCCTTTGTAAAACGATTCAATATTCGACCTGCAAAAAACGGAAGAGTAAAAATTTTTAAATCACTATTTTAAAAGTATATCATACCGATAGGATTAAAATCAAAAAATGAAATAGGACAATGAATAAGTCTTTGAAACATTCTATTTAGAAAAAAAGAAAAGAAAAGTCGTAAAAAAAAAGTCACCTAGAAAACTAAAAATGCTCACTTATTATGAAGTACTCGACTAGCATTTAAACATATGAATTTCAGAGCGACAGTACGAAATAGACTTAGTATCAAAAGAACTAATGTAATACCTTCGAAAAAAAAAAAAAGATCAAATTGATAAAATAAATAAAGTATTTAATTCAATAATTACAAACCACAATAGATATAGAATCTTCTATTTTTATGATTAGTCCATTCAACATCATTCATTGAATGTATTATATTCATTTTCTTATTTTTAGTTTCAGTACAATTTCTTAATTGATTATGTCGATAACCTTCATCTTCACTCCATTCTGCTAACCACCAATTACAGAAAATAAATATTGCTTCACGTATACCAAATACTAATATTAATAAAATCAAACCAAGAATATGACCAACACCTGCTCGTAAATATTCAATATAAACCTGCCATTTTACTGAACCTTTCTCTTTTATTTCTAAATTTTCTGAGATTAATAATTCTTCTTCTTCATTTGTAGTTTCAGATAAAGATCCATGTCGAGAGAAACATTTTTCTTGAGTATCAATCAAATATTCATTTTTTTCTTGTTGATTTATATAATTCAACAAACGACTGAAGGATGAAGATTCAAGTAATTCTGTATATGTACCAGTTTGTACCATTTCACCCTGTATGATATGTTTATTCAATAATGAGAATTAAAGTTTCGTTTTCAAACATACATTATTAAGAACAATAATTTTTGTTGAATCTTGCAAAAACTGTATTTGATGAGTAACTAGAATACAGATTTTTTCACGAAGATAATCTTTAATACATCTAAACCAATGTATTATTATTATTATTACTCTACAGATCATCATTTTTGTACCTTTTGAATAAATGTTTAGAAACTTCAACATCCACAGCAGAAAGAGGATCATCTAATAAATAGATATTCGTATCACGATAAAGTGCTCTTGCCATATTTATACGTGCTTTTTGACCCTAAAATTATTTGAATTCTTTGTTTTTTCGAACTAAATAACTTATCTTACTCCAGATAGCATAACACCTTGATCACCAACTAGAGTATTAATTCCATTTGATAATTGAACCAAATCCTATGAAGAATAATATTCAAATATCGATATGTTTTTTTTTGTTTTGTTTTTATTAACATGCTTCTTCAAGTGCAGCTGCATGAATGACACGTCGAAAGAGTTGAGGATTATATTCTTTACCAAAAAGAATATTTTCCTTTATTGTTGATGAAAATATCCCTAAAATAGTTTGATAAGAGTTATAAGGATTGATTTGAACTAACTTACAAGGTTCTTGTGGTACATAACAAAATGAACCTTGTAATTTAATGTTACCATCAAAAAAAGTTATTTCGTCTGTTAATGTTTGTAAAAGAGAACTCTAATTAAATGAAATCAAATTTATGATTATATTTAAAATAAGAAACCAAACTTTGCCCGATCCAATAGATCCAATAATGCAGATCAAATCACCTGGATAAGCATTAAAAAAGATATTTTTAAGAAAAAATAATCCATTCTATACAAAATATAATAAAACTAGAATAGATAAAAATTCGACAATAAATATCTACATCTTCCCAATATGCTTGTTTTATATAGCATTCAATTCTTGACAATTGCATCATCTTCTTATCTTCTTTATCTATGTCATCTTCGACTGTTCTAAATGATGTTGATCTTAAACGATGATCTATTTTAAATTCATCAAGTAACAGAAATTTCTATAGAACAAAAAAACAAACTCCCTCTTCTAAATAATTAATTAATAGAAACTAACTTGTATTCGTTTTTCTGCAGTTAAATAATGAACAAAATCATGTATTACTATACTAAAATCCATCAAAGATATTTCTAAATAATTTAACATACAAGAAGCAACAGCATATAATCTTATATCAAAGTTCATATCAAGTGACCACATTGTTCCATATATAATTAAAAATGCTACACAAGTATACGTATGTATAACAATTTGTTGAATAGAATCAAAAATTAAACGAATAGAATAACGAATAATTTCATATCTAAATAACAAATCGTGTTTGAGAAAATATATGAAAAAAAAAAAAAAGAAGTTTTTATATAAATTTACTTTCTCACAGAACGAATTTTTTTATTAAATGCTACTTCCCAACAATACATTTTTATAATACGTATTGATTTTATAATTTCAGACATGATTTTAACACGTTCATCTGTAACTTGTAAAATTTTTGTTCTACACAATAAAAAAAAAAAAAACAAAAACTGAAACCGTTAATTCAAAGAGAAAAATTTTTTTACCGAAAATAAACTAACAAATGACCTATAAGAGATGTAAGTAATATAATTACTATAGTATAACCAATAGCAATCAATGATACATAGTTAATAAAATACCAAAAGAAAATTATCATAGCAATTATATCCATAGGTGAAGTCTTGAAATAAGAAATTTATTAAAATAAAAATCTTTTAGTATAAATTACCCATAGATAATTCAGAGAATTGAGAATTAGTTCTATTTGACTAGCATCATTTGAGAATGAATTAGTTATTTCACCTGAACTAAATGCATTTAAAGAATTACTTGATAAACGAAGAACCTAAATAAATATTCTTTCATTTTATATAATCAAAAATAGTTCTTCTAACTTTACGAAAGATCAAACCATGGTAAGCAACACGCATTTTCATAGCAAATATTTCAATTAAATAATAAAACTAATAAAACATTATCGTAAATACGAATATAAAGAACCCGTTTACTTACTCTATGATGGCAAAAACTATGACATAAAGCAGCTAAACAACTAAGAATAGCAAGAAGACATACTAATTGAAGTGATATAGTAGAACATGGCTCAAAGAAATCCATCAAATATATAATTAATAATGGTTGACTAATAATTGCTAATTTCTATATTAAAATATTAATTAAAATAAAAAAACCGATTGAATATGCTTACAATAGGAATAAATAAGAGACCGATGATGAGTGGTGTCCATCCTACAGTATAAACTGTAGCACGAAAAAGACTCGGCTTATTTGGGCATCGTTTTAATTCATCAAACCAATAATTTTCTAATTTTTCGGAAAGTTTATTTGATTCATGTTTAGAAAGAATATCATAAACATTATGTAAATAAATTGTTCCTTGTTTATGACTTATATTAATTAATTTTTCTATCCAACTAGGAAAAAAAAACAAATATTAATCAAAATAAAATCAAACCTAAATGAAAATATTTACTTATGAAAAAGTCGTGACCATTTATTAGCATATAAAAATGGATTTGGTTTATTTTGATTGGATTTCATCTAAAACGATCGGTTTTAGTATTGAATATTTTGACTACATAAATAGATATCAATAATCTATTGAAGAATTTCAAATCTCAACAAATACACATTTAATTAAGTTTAGAAAAATAAACGATTAATTAGAACTATAAAGTCAATAGTCTAGTTTCGTTTAATTTGAAATATCATGATGAAAATGTTCGAATTTTGATATAAGTGCATCATTATTGATTAAACATTAATTAAGAAATAAGGATTTATTTAGTAATAGAACATAAACGTAAGAATTCATGTATCGACTATTTAAGATAACAATCTGTTCAACTGAAAAGGACAATGCTTGGAAGATTTCTCACATATAAAAAGATCGAACTTATTCGAAATTTTCTGTTAGGTTTTTATAAATTCTACATCGATAAATGTCATTCGCTTCAAATAATGACGAAAATGAATGGTAGTCGTCAGCCACAATCTAAGCATTTTTGTGTAAAAATGAGAGAAAAGCGTGTCTTATTGTCTTTTATCATAGTAGTAGCATCATCCACGGTTAAGCTCATTAGTCGGTCGTCTTCATTTAATATCAAAGCTGTAAAGCTATAAGAATACCGTTGAGTATGTTACCCTCATGTTTAGTGATAACTCTTTTCAGAAAGAAACTTCATCATCATACGAAGTCTGTTGTCTTAGCTACAACCTCAAATGAAAACATTTCTTTTTCAGAACAAGAATATTCCCAGGAATATGAGATTTTTTCAATAGCTCTAATTGAAAGGTGACTTTCTATTCTTGTAAACTCGTGACAATTTAACCCTTTGGCTCCCGGCGACGTATATATACGTCTTGGTATTTGTTCACTGTTTACGTATACCTCACGTATTGACTAGTTCCTGCAGGATTGTTCCCACTTAGCTTATTGTCATTTTGGGATATTCCAGGATGGGAATATTCCTTCTCTTTATCACCTTCTATAGTACTATGACCTGTAAGGTCCTAAAGGTCATAGATTATCTCATTTCCCAACTGGTACATATCTTTTC